ATCATGCAGCTTATTGCATTTCCGGAACCGCTTTTGTGGTGATGTTTAACAGCTTGTGATTAGTGCCAACCTTAGAAAGTAGAGGCGATGTTGAAATATTGAGCAAATCTCGTTCATCTGATTGCGATCATTAAATCTTGTTCATTCTTTGTCTTGGTCCTTCGGCGTGATCCGAATGAGCGGTTTTGGAGGAATTCAACGGTAAGGTTTCCTGCCCATTCTTCTTCTCATTAGTGCCATTGAATCGCACTCTCTTTTAACCGTCCTAAAATTCCTAAGACCTCTTATGCATCTCATTATGCCATGCAAGGTGGACGTTGACAATTTTTTAGGCCTTGTGTTCTTCTCTTTTAGCTATTAGTTGCCTTGTTGAATGTTTATTCTGTAATTTGTTGCTGACCCTCTTATCAAACGTAATGATCGAATGAAAGTTATTGATAAGTCATTATGAACTTTTCGTAAGATATTCTATTTAGGCTTTTTTTCTTCAACAGGAGCCAAAGCATTCCCAACATCGTTTATTGCACCATACCATCAGTTCAGTTGAATCATGTTATTCGCTACTGAATTAATTTGTCGTTGGTTATATTTTTAACGCTGCTGGAGACCAATGAATCCGTCAGTTTCGATGTTCACTTGTATGTGATATAGGCTTCTACTCACGCTAATGCTTACCGTCGCAGTTGTACCTTTAGAATCTTAAGAAACGGCAGATGCACAAGAAGGCTGTCAGTGACATCTGTCCTTACGGAAGTGTATTTGTATTGTATGGAGAGGGGTACCGACAAGTGAAAGAATTTAGAAGAATTGCCGTTGACGTTGTCTCCCTTCTAAATAGATCGTGGGAAATTATTTTATGTCGCAGTAAAGTCGAGTGACAATAAGATCATACTGTTTGTCTATCCACTGAGTTTGCACTGCTCTCATAATATACTATGATGCCAGATTTCATATAGTGATTTCCAGAGCTGGCATTTTCTTTTCAGTTCTCAAGGCAATGGCTTCCAAACGTTGTTTCAACAGTTTTGATCTTCTCGCATTATGGCAAAATTCATGAGTATCATTTCAAGGCCTCACAGTGTTCAAATGATCTGGCCTTTCTTTGCCACTGAACCGAAAATGATAAGAGGTTGCGCTGATTATGAAGCAGTCTCAAAGGCTTCGCATTAAATAAAGTGTTGATTATTGCATTTGCCATTGGACAACTTTCACTGAGCGATTAATCTGAGGCATGAATTTTACTATCGTACAGTATAAAGTTATTTTAGACAAGCTCCGAAGAAAATGAACACTTCAGAAGAGTTTCCGATTGAAAAATGCTCAGTCAATTCGCTGTGGAAGTTAATAGCAAATTCCTCTGAAAATGTCAGCATTATTTTGCCATCAGGTTTTATATTCAACAAGAATGAGCTTGGCCACATTTATGACTTCTACCTGCTTGGGCACAGTCTTAAATTCACAGTCGCACCGATTCTGCAGATTATCATGGCTGTTTTCGGCATAATCGGATCCGCTGGTATTTTGATCACCCTAACGCATGAAAGTTATAGTCAACGCATTGCGTTCAAGAGCTTTATGGTCGCTCTCGCTGTATCGGACATGATGTTCAACGTGTTTGGAATACCGTTCACCATTATTAGTACCACGTCCAGCTCAAACGGCACTCAGTGGGCAGCGTTGCCATATATGCTGCTGGTAACTGTGGGCGTTATTAACGTTTCTTCTCTGTTCTGTAACTTAAACTCGTTGTGCCTCACCCTCACAAGGTACGTGATGCTGGTGAAGCCCTTCTATTGGAAGACTAGAAGCAACGCGTGGAAACGGTGCTTTTTTATGTCCTGTCTGATACTGAGCCTCTCAATGGCTCTCTTAAGGCTGTACCTTCCGCTGCAGTATCGAGTCAAGGTTGTTAACGAATCATCGGCCGGTGAGAAATTGTACGCATTCCGTCGTTCGGCATTTGACGAAACCCCGCTATATCGAGTTATGGGTTTAGCATGCGACATCGTACTGCCGTTGAGTATATCTGTTCTGATGCTCTATCTGTCCATCAAAATCGTTTTCATTGTCATGAGGCGAAGGAAGATATTGCCATCTGTCGGTTCGACTTCCCTGGCAAGCTGCGTGACAGAAATCGCCGTTGGTCACCATATGAAAGTGAAGCACTCGAGCAGCATCAATAAGCTCATCTTCTGCACGGCGGCCATGACCATATTGTGCGAAGTCGCCTACATCTATCTGTGGTTCTTGACCTTTTTCCTCGATCAGGATTCGCTGTCCGCTGAAGGCTGCGCTGATGTACACCTGGTCCGAACCAAACTCCGGAATTATGTCTTGCATCTTATTTCTGCAATCGTCGGCAATGCGGTTGAGACCTTTGTCAGAATGTGTCATTTCTACAACTACATGATATTCAGTTCCGTTTTTCGTAATCAGTTCGTGGAACAGATCAAATGTAAAAACTAACTCTGTCGTTTTTCGGGTAACTTGCCGGTACACTATATATCTGTTCGAGAGTAAAATATTTGAGGCAAAAAACAAAATACGTACAGTCTATTTCATTGCAGATTCTTATTCCAGTGTCTTCAAGTGACAAAATGATGTTCTAGTGTTTTTGGACAGCCCACGAAGATTCCTATCCTCACTTGAAAGCTACAGGTCAGAAAAATTGAGATAAGCACAAGACCCCCTGCTGATCACACAGCAAATTGTTGATTATGGGCAAATCAGGATGAAATGAGTAAACCGCATATGAAAGAATATGCAGCCTACGATTACGTATTGTCATATATTCAAAACTTAGTTTGTTTTTGCTTTAAGAGAGCATTATTGGGCAGTGGTCATTGATACTGAACAAAGCAGATATCGTTATTCCTTGAGAACCACATCGAAGTATTAACAACGCCAGACAGCCGTTTAATTGCTGAATTGCACACCAAAACGCTTTGCGGACACGGGAACGAAGAACTTGATTTGTGACTTGTGAACCTCAGTAATAAAACATTCACCAAATAAAATTATACAGGAAACTTCATTATTTGGCAACCAATTGGACATTTCGTGGGTAGCCTCTGCTAAACGCTGATTGCTGTAAACGATGGGTGCTTCTTTGCCAAAATTTTCATTTTTGGGTCTGACTTCTTAGTTTGTACAACTGGAGGACTTGTGTTCCTAGTCGTTGCCGATCTTGAGTGTCGTCGAGTTGAGGATTCGAAAATGACCTCCAGATTTGAAGGTTTTTCACCAGAATTGGGCAGTGGCAGACAGTCAGCGGTGGCATTACCACGGCATAAGTGACGTCGAGTTCGACAGGTTCTTAGCTTAGATAAAAGTCGCAGTGCCTCATGACGAGGAGAAAAAGACCGACCGATTTGAATGGAAGACAGCTGAAAAAGCCGTACTGAATGCAATATCCGTCTTACGAAATTCGCTAGGTCACCATCAGCCTTGCCAGCAATATTTCATAAGGAATGGCAACACAAAACTTTGCGGCCATTATCACTCGTCGCTCAATACTGGCTCCAGTAAGCGATTGATCCAGGTGTTGACTGGACAGCGGTCATCTGCATTAAGTACTCTACTTACACATTATGCAATCAATCAGAAGAAAAAATACAGTGTGATACAACGAAAAAATCCAACCCCAACGTTATCGAGAGCTATCGATTCCGCCGCTGAATACATGACAGTAAAAATAACGATTCTCGATTGAAACAGCAAATGCAGAATGTAAAGAAACAAAAATCAATGCAGAAATGTAATATAATAAACGAAAAATGAAACTTCTCACTTTACACCAGCAGCTCAGTGCACTGCCCTTTTGCTTCGGAACGTTTAGGGGGACCATTCAAACGGGCCACGGCTCCATGGTATTTAAACGCCTGCAGTGCATAGGACGCAAGATTGCGTCTCAAATATGCGTTGAACAGTGTATGTTTAAACAAAGAACAAAGCCATGATCCGTAAGAGGAAGAGCGACAAAATGGAACCCCGATGTTCTGGCGAACCGCACCGCCGCTGAATACATCACAGTAAAAATAACGATTCTGGATCGAAATGGCGAATGCAGAGTGTAAAGAAACAAAAATTAATTTTGCTCAACCCACATTCGACACGCGGTCCTGCGTCCAATCACTGCAGACACTGAAATGCCATGGAGCCGTGTTAACCGATGTCGAAGTCATGTTCTGCCAAAGCAATCCACCTTGCGTGGCACTCGACGCTGTTGAACGCCATCTCCTAATCGATTAAGAGATCATTTATCATTCAAGGATGATATCTCATGAAAAAAATGTAAATTATTTTATGACATCATTGGATCGATTGCATGATTAGATTGTAAAAAAATTATTGAAATGCCAGTTAGCTGTTTAAGAGCAAATCGAAAAGAAACACGCCAATCCAAATCTGAAATTATATCGGCATCAGTTCTCACTGACCGGTCAACGATAGCTTCACATTTCGTTGCATTACAGTAAACTTAACCGAAAAATACAGTCGCTCATTTACCCTGGTCAGTTTCAGTAATTCAGTAGTAAAATAGGTAACTTCCCTTCTCAAACAAGGGTAAAAGTCGAACTCTAAACACCCATTTCCAAAGCCATCTGTTTTTCGGTTCGTAAGGACACTAACTTCAATGAATATTTTTCAGAGATTTCTGTCTTCACAGCTAAAATGAGCTCTACGCATGGAATATGTAGAATTTAGTCGTTCACTGCTTAAAGTCGATAGATAAACAAACAAATGAGTGAGAATGCACATGAAAATGCCGAATTTTGTATCCAGTGAAGAGAAAACAAACGAGAAAGGTCGCATCCCATGACTCACGAATGACCTGTAGTCTTTGTGGGTAACCGAACGATTCTCAAGAGGGTGCAAGACCTCAGTTAGAAGAGATTAACTCATATCAGTATATCAGTTGAAATACGGACATACACACTTGATACGAAAGACTATAAAATGTAGACAATGGTAATGGTAGTCGTAAAATCGAGACTAGGCAATGCCCATTGCTTAGAAGAGCAACTTATCAAGATAAAAGTTGTGAATCACTTTTTGTGCATGATAACGTACTTGAGCATTAAACTGATTCATCTTTATCTTCCATCGCCGGTTCTCCTTTTGAGTCGCGCAGGCAGACGTGTCAGACAGAGCTTCCAACGTTCCCAATCCTGTGCCAGAGTCTGAGGTTCGGCAAAAGATAATTGCAGTTTGGAACAGAGTCTCTCCATATATTTGTACCAGGTTAATCTTGGCCCTGGACCTTCAGCCTGTCGGTTGGACAAGAAACAGTTGTTTAGCCTTCCTTTCTGGAGGCATTGGCAACATGTGCCCAAACCATCGCAGCTGTGACTTTTCAGTCTGGAGAAGCAGAGGCTGAACGCCAAAGCTCTCCCCGAAGTCAGTATTCCGAACCATGTCGAGGCGCGTAAGGCCACCAACTCCTCTCAGAAAGCATATTTCACGCAAATGAACGGTTCGAAACTTTTGAGAGATCGGTCACGACTCATAACAGTGGGAAAACATCCGGATAAAGATCGACTTGAATACCGAGAAATTAGTTTTCAGACTGAGCTCCGCTTTAGTCATGATCGATCGGGCTATTTCACGCAGAACGTCACTGGTTACTCCAATTCGCCGGTCGATCTCTTCCTCCAACTTTCCA